GGAAGAGATGTAACTCAGAATCACTTCAGCAGGGAAACCGTAGACGTCGAATCCAACCGGATGAACCTTTTCCAGGACATCACTAATAAATGGCTTTTTTAATCCTCTCCAGTAATACCGAATTCACTTTCATGAGATGTCCTATTTCGAGTTCTTAGAGAGAATGTTATTCCTTATAATCAGCCCCAAATCCACCTCCTTATTAAATGTGATCGTGCCATCCAAGGCGCCCCAGTCTCTGTGTCCACCTTCCTCATGAGCTCCATGTATTAAAGAATGCTCGCTATTTATTCCCTTGGCCCTTCTAGCTGTCCTGCAGGACCTGAAGGAACCATAGCACCAGAACTATGGCTGTGAGAAACCTCTTATGTTTATCCCAGTGCAATAAATATTATCACCTTCTATGCATGTTGGGGAAAAGATCCAGGTTCTGGAAACCAGACAACCAAGTTAGAATCTTGGCTCTGTCAGTTATTAGTTCTTGTACCTTGGGATAGAGACTCCACCTTTTTGATCTTCAATGTCTACATTGCAAAATGGGTACAATAATACTTGCTCTCTTAGAGAGCTGATGTAAGAACTACAGATGAGAATGCATTAGGACAAATAAATGCTATTATTGCCATTGGTTCTGCTTTTTACGCTTTTTAACCATGATACAGAATTCTTCTTCTTTATAAACCTCAAATTATTTAAAGTTAGTTTTTTTTCCTCTAAGTCTCCTCTGACTTAATATCCCAGGTTCCTTCAGCATCTTCCTGTCCAGCGTGGACTTAAGTTTCTTTTCAACTTCTCAGTTGCTCTCTTCTAGATACCCTATGGTGTCTTTGTGTTCCCTTTTAAGCATAAAATACTAAAAACAGAATGCACACCTGCAGGTGTGGATTGATGAGATAGTCCTCAAAGGGTGCAAGGAATAGGGGATGGAAGGAAGAATATTCTCACTGGGGAACAGAATAATAAGCAAAAGAGAAGAAACCCCATACACATGGCATGCTTATCAACAAATGGGCCTAACTGGCTAAAAGGGAGTCATGCGGAAAAAGAAATCTTAAAGGGGCTGGATTGTGAAGTTCCTGGAACTATGATACTACAGATTCTATCAATATAAAGGAAAACCAACAAAATCATCATTATAGGAGATTTATTTAACACTTGAAAGCAAGCAGCTGCAGAATTTATGTGAGCTACTCACAAGTAGCAAAAAGTTATAAATATTATAGTCCTTCTTTTGCTTGCCTTAGATGAAAACAATCAATAACTCTACAATAGTCCCAAAGGCAATGCTGAAAACTTGGAGATGATCCAAAAACCACACATTCCCTTTGGCTGTTTGCTGTTGCAATCTACTATGGTTAGAAAGGTCAGTGACCCGAAGAAGTTACTTTGTTCTATCCTGGGAGTCATGCTCAGTAGCTTCATCTACATACTTCCTTTTTCCCCAACCCTTTCTCTCCTAGCCTTCTGGTCTTTCTCCCATTCACTCAATTTGCATAATGCTTAGAACCTTTTGGAATTCATGCCCCATCTCTGTTGAGTACTAGGTGTACAGCTTTGAACAAATTACTAAGCTTCTTTGTAACTCAGTTTCCTCACCTATAAAAATGAGAGGTGTTTTTTTTTTTGTTTTTTGTTTTTGTTTTTGTTTTTTACTGGGTAGCTGACTTGATAATTTTATTTTTTACAAAGGAAATCTATTTACATTTACATTGCAGAAATATGGCAATACTCCAAGAAAAATGTGAAATTAACCTATAATCTCGTACCCAAAGAGATCCATTGTTAGCAATTTAATATATACTGTTCATTCCAGTTTTTAAAGTTTATTGCCTTTCAGCTCTAAATAAAAATGAGAGTTTTTATAAGATTTAAAAATTAAGTGTGAACACTAAATGAGTTAATGTATCTAAAGTGATTAGAAGAGAATCTGGCAGTAATAAGTGTTATTTATGTTAACTTGTTATTTTGGGTCATTACAATTCATAATTCAACAGATACTAGACACTTGATTAGGCACAGGGGATGCATAGGCAAACGGGACAATCCCTCAGTGGTCATATTTCTACTGATTTTGTGGGCAAGGCAATGACTTTGGGAGCATACTCCTGAATAAACTTTATAGCAACCACTTACTGTGTTTGTAACCTTGGATGAAAGACTTAATTCCTCTGAGCCTCTCTCTTGTCTGTAGTATGAGGATTAATAAAATCTACCTCAAAGATCTGTTCTATTAAATAAAACGAAATATGCATATTGCCTGACACAGTGTTGTAACTAAATATACACTCCTTTCCCCAAAATCCTGTGGCCATACCTGAGTCTGGAGGATCCAACCCTGAGTTTAGGATCCAGCGATTTCTTCTAAAGTGCCAATCAAGAGTATGGACATACAGCGGGAACATCTTCGGGAAGGGCAAAAGCGAGGAGTAGGAGTGAGAAAGAACGAGGTGGGGGAAGCGGGGAGACCGGCCCTGGACTACATCTCCCGGGATGCTCAGCAAGAAGGAGAGCCCCGCCCCACCCGGCCCCTCCCAACCGGCACAGGAGGCGCTGCCCACCCCGTGGAGCCCAGCGGCGCGCTGAGGCTACAAGTGCCTTGGCTGGTAATCGGGGGACTTTCCCGAGGAGCGGTGCAGGAACAAGCGTGCGGTGCTCGAGCCGCACGTGGTGGTCAAGATAGGGGTAAGTGACGGAGAGTCGGACCGGGAGGAGGCGCTGGGGCGAGGGAGAGACCCCAGGAGCCCGGCGGAGCGGCAGAGCACGTCCCTACTCCCTGTCCCAGGTGCTTGCCCCGCCTCGGGGCGTTTGGCGAACGCAGCCGGACTCCGGGTGCCTTGAGGTTTACCCGGAATGGATGAATTGATCTCGCAGGGGACGCTGCTGCCCGGCGCTTGCTGCACGCCCTCCCCGCACAGCGCGCGCTGGACGGATCGCTAGGTCGCCTCCGGGAGACCAGCCTCGCCCGTATTAGTTAGTTTCAATGCAGATATTAATGCTCTTAGTTCATGGGCGGAGGAGGTAGAGCGCTGTCCCCTTGCTTTGAGGTGCAATTTCATTAACCGCGCTCTTAAGCAGAGAGAGGAGAGGCAGGAGACGGAAGGAAAGAGCCTTTAGCTTGGTCCCATGGGATTATCCTTTCTCTACAGAGGATGGAAGCCCCGGATTATGGAGCTGCAAAGGGAATCGACTGCGGCGAGTATATCTCCGATGAAACAAGCGGAGCCTGTCTTTAAAGAGCGAGAGAAGCAGGGGAAGGGAATTAAGTGGAGATTTCTTTCCCTCTTTATTATAAATTGGAAGTCCCATAAGGAATCCTGTCGATTTTATCCAGAGTAGGGCAACGTGATGAGTTAGTCGTGCCAAAAGTTAATCAGAGCACCTTATGTCTGAGGGAATTGAGAGACTGATTTTTCATTTCAGGAATTGATCAAATCCGTTATCACCACTTCCCTCTTGGAGGGATCCGGCTGTAGGGATCTGTGTCCACTTGCTAAAGGAAAGTTCTGGGTCAGGTGTATGGTTTTTTTGCTTGGTTTTTGTTTTGTTTTTCTGTTTTACCTGAAGAGAAGCTTTGATATAAGGGGAGAAGTGGGGTTTTTTTGTTTGTTTGTTTTCGTGTTGTTTTTTTTTTTTTTAGACGAGACAATACAAAATCTAATGTAGAACAGAAAACGTGGATTCCCTTTCCGATATTTTAAGTGAGTTGCCAGGTAGACCTTAGGTAAACCTTATTCTTGTGTCTGCGTGGATTACCAGCGGCTGGGGCTGTGGATTTTGAGCATAATAAGCCTCCAACCAATGGGTTAAATCAACTACCGCCAGAAATTTGGAACCAAAATAAAAAAGGGCCCTTGCTTGAAAGGGCTGTACTTAGTGAGAGTGAAAAGTGAGTTGTTATTCTTTGGTAGGATGGCAGAGGCAGAGAAAGATGGGCAGGCAGTTTTCTGCTTAACCCAAAATTCTATCACAGAAAGCCTGCTGCGGTGGGGTAAGGTCATGTCTGGAGGCAAAGTTCCAAAGGTAATATTGGAATTATGTTAATAGCTTCTCACCTGCTCACCTCAACAGAACTGTGACTCTGTGGTTTTATACTTTGTCTTTTACCATTAGTTTACTTCTAAATAAAAACTTCTGGATGATCAATTTCCCATGCATGTTTGTTAGCCAAGTGTACACAGGGAGAAGGACTCAGACCCATTCAGACACAATGAGCAAGAGTCACAGATCTGCACCTAGAGCAGGTGTGTTTGGGGAAGGCAGGGAGTGGAGCACACTGGTCCATGGTATTTGGCAGGGATCACACAGTAAGGCATGTTGTCTATGCACTTCTGGGTCCAGAACAAGCTGGTATCATGTAGCTGCAAGGGCTGAGAATGAAAACACAAGGAACAAGCATGAGGTCTTGTACATACAGGGCTGTGGGACTAAGGGCATTGGATGTACGAGGTGGAAATTTAGGAGAGGTGGTCAGCCATCTTTCACCCACTTCCAAGCTACTCAGTCAAAATGCTGAGCTCCTGTGCCAAGACAGCCCAGCTAATGGTGACATATTTGTTCATCCATGGTACAGCTCTAAATCTAATCTCTATTAGAATCTGTTCGGAACTAAAGAGAGTGTAAACATAATTTAACTGAATTGTTGAGAGGTGTGTGCTTCCCCAGGTTTTCCAGAAAATCGCAGCTCTGCTAAAAAAGGTCTCCGCCTCTCTCATTTGTGTCTCTCTACAGGAAACTTGCCTTCCTACTTGAGGGATCCTGTCACAGAAATGTGTGAGTCCTTGGATAAATTTGGCTTGGTGACGGCAAAGCTTCCCTCAGAGACACTGCTACTTCCGCTATGCTCCTTTTCTGCCCTGACCTAAGTTTCTCAGTGTCAGTCCCTCTGCCAAGTCAGAGGATTTGCCCTTTTCCCACTTTCCTGCCACGAGGTATCCTCTCCTTTCTTTTACCCCTTTTAGGAGGAGCTGGGGTTCGAAGTGTCAATGACAGTGGCTGAAAAAGAGATGGGGGCCTTAGGAGTGAGATCCCTGGTAGTGCAGCGTTAGGTTCTATTGGGTTCTTATCTGTGTGGTTTGTGGCAGAATTCTGGGAAGCTGCTGGGGGATGTCTGACTAGTTCCGATGGAGCTCCACTGCCTTGACAAGAGGAGCAGCCAGGCAGTCCTGTGCGATGCTGTGGACTGGCATTCAGGACAGCTTCCTGGTGACCGGGCAGATGCAGCCACCGCCAGAGCTGCTCTCTGCTGCCAGAGACACTGTATGTCAACACCAAGAGCAGCTGAGATGGAAGGGTCTAAACTTAGCCCTGCTCCAGCATTCCCCTCCTCCTCTCTGCAAGACAGTGTTATTCAGACGGACTCCTTGCTACCAGGGCCTCTCAACTCAGGGAACAACCAAGTAACAGCAGGACGGAAAGTCTGCACCTGCTGCAGCCAGGAATTAGAAACTTCTTTCACCTGTGTAGATGAGAATGTCAACCTAGAGCAAAGGAACCCGTGCTCTCCTCTGGCAAAAGGGAGCCATCACCTGGGAGACCTTGGCTGGGGAAATCCGAATGAGTGGTCTCATGAGGCTGCCATATCCTTGATATCTGAGGATGAAGATGAAATAAGTTCGGAAGCCACGTCTTCAGGGAAGTCCGTAGACTATGGTTTCATCAGTGCCATCTTGTTCTTGGTCACTGGCATCTTGCTTGTGATCATCTCTTACATTGTCCCTCGGGAAGTGACGGTGGATCCCAACACCGTGGCAGCCCGGGAGATGGAACGTTTGGAGAGGGAGAGCGCAAGGCTGGGGGCGCACCTGGACCGCTGTGTGATTGCAGGACTCTGCCTGCTCACCCTTGGGGGGGTCGTTTTGTCCTGTTTGCTGATGATGTCCATGTGGAAAGGGGAGCTATATCGTCGCAACAGGTTTGCCTCTTCCAAAGAGTCTGCAAAACTCTATGGTTCTTTCAACTTCAGGATGAAAACCTGCACTAATGAAAACACCTTGGAACTGTCCTTGGTAGAGGAAGATGCCCTTGATGGATAGAGTTAATTCTGGCTGTGAGCCTATTGAGAGTCTGCGTTAGCATTTTATATGAAAACCAACCAACCAACCACATTCCTTAAAATTAGCAGTATAGTTTCTTTGCTTGGCAAGATAGGCTTATTTCCCAAACCAACAGCCAGTGAGTGGTTTTGTTCTGGATGTATTTTTTATTTGGAAGAAAAGCTATGTAAGATGCATAAAAAACTACAACCAGCTATACCTGTTCTTCTAAAGAACTGAGATTAATTCATCTATAATGGCCATCAGCTTCTACTTCTATAGCAAAATATTTCTAACAACCAGTGTACAAATGATTTCTCTTACATGCTATGGGGTATTATTCTTTGGACATTAGTAGGTCCTACATACAGTAGGATCAAGTACATACATATTTTGTGAAAATGAACTTAAGCACTAATCACATAATAAGGCTTATATTTAATTCTCAAAGGTGCTTATCCATTCTCTTGCTAAATTCTTTCTTCTAATTTGGCTGAATACTAAAATATGTTTTGAATTTGAATATTTTGAAGCTTGGGGATGTTGATTATTTTAAAAAATGCAAAAACACATCTGTTATACTTAAAATTATTTCTGTGCTCAGAAGTGGTAACTAAGTCATTAGAATAAAGTTTCCAGTAAGAGAAAAATAATGTAAGTCATTATAAGACCAATCTGAATTTAACCCAGAATGGTAGTGCCAGATATTAGCCAGTGTTGCATGCCCATTTTCTAGATGAAGTAAAATTAGTTGCTTATATAAATTTCATTTTCTGTTTGTGGTTTAGCCATCAGACAGTTACCCAGGCTCTAGAAGTCTTTCCTGGTTCTTACACCAGAGAGGCAAAGCATAAGACATTTTTAATGTGTTTCCAGACATATAAACCTCTAGGCAGGTCTAAGTCATGATTGGCTCAGACACACACCCAGGTGACGTTTTATTGTCGTTTGGAGAAATACAATGAGATACAATTGCAGCTAGACTCTTAGAGACTATGCCTAGAAGTTGGTTTCACTTCTCTAGGCTAAGCAACAAGCCATTGCCCCAGGATGGCAGCAGTCCTTAAGCCCATAGCCAAAAAATTAAAAAAAAGAGTGACAGAGAGAAAGAGTAAACACAGTGATTCACTGGGAACTGTGTCCTCACCAAAACTTACCTCCCCCAACAGTGGTCTAAGCATCATTTTTTCTTTAATTTTTAAAATCAAAAAAACTTTTTTTTAAAGATTTTATTTGAGAGAGGAGTGGGGGAGCTCTATCCCAGGATCTCAAGGTCCATGAGATCATGACCTGAGCCAAAGGCAGATGCTTAACCAACTGAGCCACCCAGGTATCCCCATAAGTTTTCCGAGTTCCTCATCCATACCCACAATAACTGTGAAATCTTGCCTCATGACATTCAAACTTGCTCGGTGAGAGGCATGATGATCAAAGTGGTCACAGCTTTGTAGAACCCACACCCAGAGTCCACACTAACACCCTGTCTCTGTACAGATATGGTTCAGAAAGGGGTCAGAAATGCATCCTCAGAAATAGCTTGCATTTTGCAATTAATCCTTGAGGTGTTTCCATCCTCCCACGGTAAGAGTTGTTTTAACTTCCATCAGGGGGTCATTCTTTTTTTTTTTTTTTTTTTTAAAGATTTTATTTATTTAAGAGAGGCAGAGAGAGAAAGAATGGGAAGCAGGCTCCCCGCTGCCCAGAGAGGCCGATCGGGGCTCAATCCCAGGACCCCGGGATCATGACCTGAGCTGAAGGCAGAGGCTTTAACCCACTGAGCCACCCAGGCGCCCAGGGGGTCATTCTTAAAGAAGACTGGAACTTGGAATTTGGGGTGGAAGAGCAGAGAATAGGGAAGTGAGAATACAATTTCTTTATAGATTCTAAAGCCTAATTCTAATGCCTACAGTTATTGTTTTTGAGGATTGTGGAAAACGTGGACGACTTTGGCTGGCAGGGTGTGTGAGTCAGGATATTTATGTGAATGAGTTCTTGTGACTGTCAGAGATTCACCTGATGAGTTAGGTACACTGTGTTACTAAGAGTTCAGATGAGATGCAAAAAGGTAGGATCAGAGGATAGTAAAAATAGAGAGGGCAGGCATTAGGTAAAAATGAGAAATTTTATGGACATCAGAGGAAGCTAGATATAGCTCAATTTGGAAATAATTGGGAGACTATAAAGATGATATTTGTTATCTATTGCTGGTTCTTTGTGCTTTTTTTTTTAAACATTTTTTTTTTTTTAAATTTGGCAGACAGATCACAAGTAGGCAGAGAGGCAGGCAGAGAGAGAGAGGAGGAGGAGGCAGGCTCCCTGCTGAGCAGAGAGCCCGATGCAGGACTCGATCCCAGGACCCTGGGATCATGACCTGAGCCGAAGGCAGAGGCTTTAACCACTGAGCCACCCAGGCGCCCCTCTTTGTGCTTTTTGAACAAAGTTTTTTTTGTTTTATTGTGACTCTCATGTCATGGTTTGTGTTGAAGCTGACTTATAGCAGTATAAATTTCATTTTCTGAAGGTTTTTGAATTGTTAGATTCTGACCTGCATAGAGACCCACTTTACATGAAGTTGAGGCAATAAATGAATGATATCCTTGGCTGGGCGAGTAGGTCTGAGTGTGTCTTTTTAGAAAAATACATTTAAAAAAATTCATGCTTGTTCTTAGAAGCTAAGTGCGATCAGCTGAATTTTGTTTTATTTATTGGTAAAACATGATTAGTTAGCTGAATTGCAGATTGATCTGAATTAACGTGCAGCCCGATTTTTCAGTGATGAAGGAAGACAAATTAGAGAATCGAGTGTTAGGAAGTTTTTCAATTCTGTAAAACTGGATAAAGGAGAAAAAGCCAAAGCTTTTCATTGGGAAATATATAATGAATCTTACAGCACGATCAAATTACAAATAGTTCTGATATGATCTAAAGGATCTCTCTCTCTCTCTCTACATATACATATATATGTATATATATACACATAGATATATAGATATAGATACAGATAGGGATACATATATAGATATAATGGAATATCTATATCTACTTATCAAGATCTATCCCATTCTATCTATATATGTATCCCTATCTATATATAGAGATATAAATAGGGATCCCAGATAGGGATACATATATAAATATGCCATTATATCTATATATGTATCTCAATTAGAAAAAGATATGCATGAGGAAAGACCTAACAAGTCAGAATATATTTCTTTCCTTCCTTAAAATTTAAAAATTGAACTATCATAATTAATGCTTATTTATTTAAATCTGTTCATATATAGGACACATCTGTTTATATATGGGACACAGCACTTTTAAGGTTCTACTTAAGTGATGACAGACCATTACTCTAAGAAAAACCAATTCAGAAAATCATCTGGGTGTGTCCTTGAGTGCTGTGTTGACATAGTTCAGCTAACTGCCTTAATCAGCTTTCCTCCAGTATTCAGGTGTGTAGTTCTAGTCCATCCTATCAGTGCCTGAATTCAAGATGAGGATTACTTGAATTTAAAGTCACCCTGAACTTTAGACTCTATTGTTTCCAATCTGATAAAGAGGTTTTTGGCTCTAAATGTCTTTATTTGGAAGTATTTTGGCAAGATCAGGTGATAAATGTTATAGACATTGAACCAATGATAGCTGTGTTGTTGCTGGGCTTGGATCCTTCATGGAGATCTTGACCTTACATCTATCTCTTGAACATGGTGCTGGTTGTTGTTTATGAAAGCTTTCATTGCTAGACCTGGAACAGCAACTTCTTTCAGAGGTCCATGTTTAGGTCTTTTTACCAGGTTTCAAAAAACTAAAGTGAGTTACTTTCCTAATCTTAACAGAAAGCAGATCATTGTTCAGCAGTGTGGTCCAGAGGGGTGAGTACCAGAAAGAAAGCTTTCTCCATTACTACTGGGATCTATGTACTGCTTATGGACAGTTTAATCCTCCTAATGACTTTAATAAACTGTCTCTTCTTAGGGCAACTTAAACTGTTTGTGGTAGAGCTGAATGTTTCTTTGCAATGATGAGTGTCCTTTCTAGCCATTTAGAGCTCCTTAAGCAGACCTATATACTGGCCCCCTCATAGGGAGAAAGTCTTTTCTCTAGGCTCCTCACTTCATAACTGATTCATAGTTTAGAGGAGCAGAGGACTTCTTGGAACCATGAAATCCTTGGTGGCTATGGTGCTTTTATCCATATGACTACTATGCCCCCTTAGTTCTGTACTGCTAGAGACTTGGCTGATACCAGTATCACATGCTTTGCTGTCTGCTTAATATATCTGAGTCAATCCCTTTCATACTTACTTGTTTTGGGGACTCAGCTGGACCAATGCTGGCCCATGTCCTTTGAGGTGCAAATTTAGACAAAGAGACTGCCCTACTAATTGTGCCTTCCCTTTGGCCCCCAGTGTAAGGAGAGTGAGTAAGCGAGCACTACGCCAGTTGAATATCAGGAATTAGGGTTTGAACCCAAGTGGCTCTACTTTTTGTTACTTCTTTGTGACAGGCAGAAATTCTAGGCAAGAGCATTTGAACATTTCAGCCTTCATCTTTGATATGCGGAGTGACGGGCATATGCAAAACCTTAGCTGGATTAATCATCTAGAGTTAAAGAAGAAAATGTTCTGTATACTTATTAGGAGCAGGTTTTTCAATCTGAAGGTCACATTCCATTGTAGCAATTACTGCTGCCACAAAAATGTGGTCTGACAAAAGAGATTCACAACCTTGACCAGTGGTTCACCTATTCAGCAAGATTTAATACCACCAGCTAAGTTCCACTGTGACAAAGGAATAAGATCCTTATAGTTCTCTGTAATGGGGTTTGACCTTTCCCAGAATTGAGCATAAAGAATGACTACAATGAATAGAATTATAATAATGAACTCTCACTGGCTTTTCCCAGTATAAAGGGTTCATAAGAAAGAGAATTAACATGTCATTATCTTTCAGCTGATTTTCAGCTATATCATTTTATGGTTCATAGTATTCTAGAATATTCTCTCCTTCCAACTTTTATGGGCAGAAGCCTTTGGAAATAATTTGCTTGATTTGTGCACTGACACTGTAAAAATAAGATGTTATTTTAAATATGTAAAATCAATTTCAAAAATCTGTGGCTTACACTTAAGAGCATACCTGTGGTTTACATTTGTTAGTAAGTTTATGTCCACTCTAGTCTGTGTATGTATTAGGAGAATGTTTTATAATTATAGAACTGTAATATCCAAAGCTATTGTTAGAATAATTTTTCTTATAGGAAATTTGGCATGCCTTAATGTTGACTTTAAGGACAAGAGAAGTCTTTCACAGGTCATGAATGAAGAATTTAGAATCAACCTCAGAATGAGATGCCATAATTACATAGGTCTCTTTTGGCTATTCAGCATCTCAGAGATGTTTGATTTATTTTTTTAACTGTACGATTTCAGGCTTATAAGATTGTGACCTATTTAGAATTAGCTTACCATAAATTATTATTTTATTTCAAGGAAA